GTGGTAATGCCCTTAAGCATATTTGCTGATAGAAAGGTTGGAGCACGTTGGAACACTTATTCATAATTCAGGACTGCACACAATTCTGGCCCCTGTATGCTATGCCAATAACATATGCGGGCCATAAAAGGACCATGACAATCCTGGGCTGCAGAGCAAGCCATAGGCATTCTGGGTACGACTGCAACAAATTACAGGATCCCTTGGGGCTCTTCCTGCTAATGTGATGGTCTGCTTCAGCCCCTGCAACAACCTTTATTGCCCTCTACGCAGATTACTCTGTGTTGCCTCTCTCAGTAGGTACAGCCATGGAGTCTAGCCATTAGCATTAAGGGTCTGATCCACTGCTCCTTGAAAGCAATGGGACTCTATGATGCAGTGTGCTCCTCTCACCAGCCCTGAGAGAGTTGAATTAGGACAGGTGGGCCCAATCCATCAATTAAGCTCCAAATGGGGGAGGTTTAGGTTGCTTGGACGGCACTATTTAGGAAGAAGCTCAACTGTGAGGGAAGAGGCAGGGCCTCTATAAAGCCAGGAAGCTAGCAACAGAGATGAGTTTGAAGATCTTCTCCCTGGGGTAAGGGAGAAGAAGCATGGTAGGAAGGGGTCCAGAGAGGAGAGCAATAAGGTGGGTGTAAACACAGACCTTAATGGCTTGTTACAGGACCCTGAACTGGAACCTAGAGTAGAGCGTGGGCCTGGGTTCCCCTACCATCTACTGCAGAGTGGTACTGCTAGGAGCAGTGAATGGGAAGACTGCCTGAGTTACTGTGGTAGTATGCTAGTCAAGACAGCAGGTTTGCGGCCTGCCTGATGCTGCTGGTGGAAGAGAGACCTTAAGAGACTCCCCTAGAAGGGGAAACTACAGTGTGATCTGGCTGGAGGGCTGAATCACGAAGCAGCTGTGTTGTAAGTCTGTGGAGTGGAAGGAGAGTGGCATGTGGGAAGAGAAGAAAGGGGTTGCTGAACCAGCTGGAGCTAACTGCCAGCAGGAGGTGCCATCCTGTGGTGAGTAGAGCACCCCTTGTGACGGTCCTTCTAGTGACTTCTCTGAGCAGGGGTGCTGGGATGGGGGGCCATGGCTGGTAGGTGAGTGATGGGTGAAGAGGGATGGGGCGTCTGGGGAAGGGTGGTGGTGAGGGGTTTGGGGGAAGGATGCCAGTGGGCCCCCACTTTTAGGGAGCTTCTGCTGCTCCTGCCTCTGGGTCCTGGCTCAGGCCCATGTTTGATATGCAGCACAAGCCTCCCATCACATTCTCACAATGTCCCTGTGAAGTAGGTACTGTTAGTATTATTATCCTTTCTGCTTGGCAGATGGAGAAAATCAACACAAAGAAATTGAGTGCTTTACTCTAGGCCATACAGCAAGACAGGGCAGAATAATCAGAAAGAGAGTTTAGGATTTCCTGGTGCCCAGTCTTGAGCTCAGCGCATCTGACCCATTAAACTAAGGAGCTGACTAGAACGTTCAGTAACCCTTTTGTTGTTTTGTTTGATAAGGCCAGATTCACCCACCCTCGCTCATGTTAAATGCTGCCTTAAAAAGGGCCAGACTCTAAAACATGTACTCATGTTGAATAGCGTCTTAATCCACGAGATGCCCCATTGACTTTAATGGGATTATTTGTAAAGTAAGGTACATTTACTAAGTGGTAGTATCAGAAGCTGCCCTCTAAGTGAGGAGTCCTATTGGAATCATGGGACAGCTTGAGTAATAAAGTACTGCTCAATTAGCCCTGAGCCTCCATGCAGAAACCTTTCCCAGTGGCAAAGACACACTAGGCTCAGTCTCAGCCCAAGTCACTTAACTCAGGAAGGAGCCTCTGCTGGAAATCTCTTCTGTGCAGGAGTTTAGTATTTTGAAGATTCTTTGGCAGCTTTCAGCACCAGCTATACTGCGGGCATTCATTTCTGTAGAGGAAAATCCTCTTTTCTGGCTGGTCAATATGTGTAACTGCCAAATATACTGCTGCTTTGTTTACCCTTCCCATACTGAATTACTACACTGTTTACTATGATTTCATTTGGGCATCTCTGAACTTCCTTGTTCTAGTCACAGCTTGATTGTAAAAATGCACTTTACTATCCCCAGGAGGCAAAACTGAGATCAAATTGTATGTTTGGTCAGACGTGGCATAAAAAAGTTATAGTTTGTAATCAGTTGTTTTAGGAAGAGAAATTCTGTAAAGGTGAGCACGGAAGTCTGATAATGCAAACATTAAAAAGAAGCAAAGAGCACCAGTTTCTGTTCCACTCAGGACTAACGCTTACTACTTGAAGCCTGTGCTGTCAATGTGTCCATTTCTAGCATTAAATATCACGCCAGGAGAATCTTACTTCTAATATGAAGGCACTGAAAACATTCTAACATTAGTTTTAACACACACTTTATGTGGCATCCAAACTGAGATAACCTTACAATGATCTACTGGAACACCTCTCTCCTTTGCTACACCCCATAGCAAGTAGTCAAGACCTGATGAATATTTTTTCTGATGTCTCCAAACCCCCAGCTTCTTATGATTGTCCTCAATGTGGAAACCCTTGTCCATATGCAGGTTGTCTCTTCCTTTGATTACAGTAACCTCCTGTCTCTATTCACATCTGCCTAATGTCCTAGATTTCCTTCAAATCTCCCCCACCCTTCCAGCAACACCCTCTTCAATCAGTCCTGTACCCTCCCTAACTTGAATTATTGTCTTGTGTCATGTCTTGTTTTATTTAGTCTGCAAGGTTTTCAAGGGTCAGAAACATGCCTTATTTATTAGTTCTTCTGGTTTAAAAAAAAAAAATCTTACCCCAAAACCCCTTTGTATGAGCTCTAGAGGCCTTAACAGCAATTATGTCCCCAATCCATTAAAATATCATCTAGTAACCCAATACAATGGAAGTATTTGCATGCCAACTCAAACAGCAGCAGAACTCCATCCCATTCCACCCAAAGTGCCCTGGCCCCTACTTTCATCAGAAGACCTATTAAATAGATGGCTTTTGCAGGGAGTCTTGAAGGTCAACAATCTATTGACCAAATCCATATTTGTTGAATGTAGGCCCAGCTCTGCATAGAAAGCTCCAGGATGGAAGCATTCTATCTGATTTGCCCATGCTTCTACATCCCTTCTGAGAGTATTGCATATCTAGAGTTACCATACTTCTGGGTTTTCCCAGACAGGACTCTTTTTTTGATCCTCAGTCTGGGCAGATTTTTCAAATAAGAGGCAATGTCCAGGATTTTTGCGGCGCAGCTGTTACAACTCAGAAAGCACTGTCTCTTGGCCCCAATTGGTCCCTTCCCTTCCCACAGCTGCTGAATCCTACCTGCCCAAGCCCTGGCTCCCAGCTCTGGTTCAGGGGAGAGGCCCACAGGGAGGTACTGCCTCCTGGGCCTGTGCCAGCTGCTCTGTCACCGTGAGAGGGAGTGATACTGCCCCTCACCTTGAGAGTGAGGCTCCGGGTACCCTGTCCAGCACCCCCAGTACACACATCCCTCCAGCTCCCCCCTTAGTAGTGTTCTATTTTTGGGAACCTGAAATATGGTGACCCTATCCTACCCCTCCGTTGTATGAGCCAATGGGGAAGGGCCAGCGTCCTACCTTCTCCCCACCTCTAGTACATGCTGGGAGGGAGCGGGACTGCAATTTTTGCCTCCCCCTCACACAGACTGCCCAAGTGCTTCCACCCACTCATGCTCTGTGAAGCAGCATATGGGCTAGTCACAGCCTACCTCTCAGTTTGGAGGTAAATCTCTCAGTGAAGTCAAGGGAAGGAGGCATTGCTTGAGCAGTACGAAGTCAACATCAGGCAGTGATTCAGAGTATGGCCCTCTGTTTGTGGAGTGCTGTTTTGTAAATGTGCAGTGCTGTGTAAATGGGTTATACTAACACACAAGAAACATCCATAAATTGCTCTATATGAGCAGGGGCACATTAATATGTGAAACCCAGAAATCACAGTACCATTTTGTAGTTTGCAAATTCACTGTGTTGCAAATAAGCCTTTTATATGAAGACATTGCATGAATTGTTTTTGGGACTAGACATAAATCTGAGGACCTGACAATTTGCAGTTATTAAATGCTGTGACTAGACCTACTCAAAATTTTACATTAAAAAGGGACATTTTTGCAAAAATCTAGACATTTTGGACTTTTTTATAAGAATAGGATGGTAATCAAGATGTTCTGGTGGGAATAATTATATTTCACCTAACATTCCTCTTGTATTGCTGAGTGAGGCAGTCACCACTTCTCATTAAATTCTTGTGTAGTATTGCTCTGTTTAGTGCTACAGTTGTTGTATTTTTCCCCAGAGGTGGCTGCTCCTCAGTGGTAGGCAAAGTGCTGTCTAATGGTATACGTACATTTAAAACTCTATAGTAGTGCAGCTGGACGAGGGGTCACTCAATACAATTAATAGCAGGTGTAAAACAAAAGGAAGTCCTACTTCACACAACGCATAGTCAACCTGTGGAACTCTTTGCCAGGGGATGCTGTGAAGGCCAAAACTATAATAGGGTTAAAAAAAAAAAGCAACTAGATAAATTCCTGGAGGATAGGTCCATCAATAGCTATTAGCCAAGATGGGCAGGGATGCAACCCCATGCTCTGGGTTTCCCTAGCCTCTGTTTGCCAGAAGCTGGGAGTAGACTGTGATTGCCTGTTCTGTTCATTCCCTCTGAGGAACCTGGCATTGGCCACTGTCAGAAGACGGGATACGGGGCTAGATGGACCATTGGCCTGACCCAGTAGGGATGTTATGAAAACACTAAACCACTGTAAGATCATTCTCATTACAAAAGACATAAATTCTAAAGAATGTAGTCAGCACAGAGCTCCACAGATACAATTCACTTCCAGTTAATCAATTGCCCTTGTGCTTTGCAATCATATAAATTATTTTACCATCTAACCTCATTTAACTAGAGTAATTTTGACACATGCACAAAACTGGCCATAAAACACCTAAGTTATTTTTTTAATTGTAATGTTCAATGTTCTGGAAATGTTAGTATTGATTATCCCTTGCAGGGAGAAGCAAGAAAATATCTGCTCTCCCAATGTACAAGAGTTCTAAACAGTTTGATGTACAAATCATATACAGAATTACTTCTTTTTGCCCTTTGCACCTTTGCCAGGCTTTTCTTTCCCCTTCTTATCTTTCTTTCCTTTCTTTAACAGTTTTTGAAGCTCAGCAAAAATTCCAAGCCCCTTCCGCACCATCTGCCCACGCCACCAAGCCTGGATCTGAAAGAGAGGATGGAACAATATTGTTACCTAGAGGAGAAGAGGGTGACTTCAAACAATTGACTTGAGCACTGTCGGCTAGTATTGATGCAAAAAGCTGAATGCATTGGGGTCTGCTGGAGTAAACTGGGGTTAAATTCATGATTAGACTAAATTAATTTAAAGTAAGAGGACCTGCCAACCAACTAAATTATATTTTTCAGATTATTTCCATGAGCTATTTTAAAATTAAACTAAAATTTCTCTAAGGGAGGGAACACTCTCATTGTTATTCTCTCAACTCTTTGGTCAAGGCAAGGGCTTCAAGTGAAGAGAAATCATCTTCCCAACTTTAAATGTCACTATTTGGCTGTTACGTTACCCCATGTACCCACAGTCAATTTGGACCTAGCTAATGGTCCTACGTTGGGCCCAATGAAAGGGAAGTTGTTTCCTTTCAGATGTTGGGTAGCAATGTGTAGAAATAAGACAATAACTGGGGGAAGGGAAGAATTTGAAATACAGGAGATTCAGGGACTGAGGACCTGCCCCTTGTTCCTCATCCCCATCTTTTGAGCAAAATGACTCTATTGCCTACTGGTGCTGTAGATTGAGCTTCTAATAACCATCTAGGGCAGTGATACTCAAACCTCAGTGGTTCAGGAGCCAAATTAGCAATCACTATTACCCAAAAGAGCCACAGTAATTCAGTGTTTCCTTTTTCTCTTTTATATTATATAATTAGAATCTCACAGCAAAACAACTAAGTATTCTACAATTGGTTAAGCATCCTGATTGGTTGTTAATTATCAGTGTTTTAATATGTGCTACAAAGAGCTGCAGGAGACACACTAAAGAGCCACTTGCGACTCCTGAGCCTCAGTCTGAGTATCACTGGTCTAGGGCCGTTCCAAGCTGAATCCCTGTGCCCCCAGGTTCTACAGTCTTGGGACTAAAGGAGGCAGTTTATAGCTTCTTCCCCAAGCAAGGATTTGGCTTAATGGATCTGCATAGTGTAGTAGTCATTCCCCTACCAAGCCCACATTCCCCATTGGCAATGAGATAGAGACTCCATAGCACACGAGGAGGTATCTGCTGCTTTACTGCCCCATCAGAGCTGACACAGAATTTTTAAGATACTTCAGGACCTTGCATAGCATGCCCTGTAGAATGTTGTGTAAAACACTGGATTATTAATGCAGTTTGTGCAGTGTAGTAGATCTCTTATGCCTTGTACCTTTGTAGCCTTGGCCTTTTGATGCCTCTTTTCCCGTAAATACTCCCAGATAGCCAAGTTCCCCTGGCTGCACACCTCAATTGGAGGGTCTGTCATAGGGTTCCCATCCAGCAAGACAAGCTGCAGCTTCTGAAGACTGTCCAAGTTTTCTGGGAGTTGGAACAACTGATTGTTCTGAACAAGCAATCTTTGCAAACCTGAACAAATAAAATCGCAAAACTGCAATGCACAGGCTAATAATAATCTGGAGTGTTCCCTGGGTGTGCTTACAATAAAACAATGTATTGCTGGAGTGTGAAATATTTACTCTGTGTATATAAATATTTCCCAGCACATCAATAGGTTGTTTCATCTATAGTATAAAGGGCCTAGTTCCCAAACTTGGAGAGATTTTTTTCACAGGATTTCAATAACACCAACATGTTTGTTTTAATGGCATGATCAAAGTTTGTTTGTTTGTTTTTTACAAAAATATCAACAAGAAGGGTGTTACTGCTGTTGTGCCTTTCTACTTCCACGGCCCTGAGTTATGAGTTTTTAGGCTTAGGCTCAAGGTAAGTGCAAGAATACAAAATTGTTTCCCCCCCAAAATAGGAACTAGGGTGAAGCACTCAACAGAGCTTCATTTCCTAAATGATATGCCACACCCTGAGGTGGGTCGCTGGCAATGAGAAATAGACTTGGGAGCTGGGGATCTTAAAGTATGATCCTCTAAGCTTAAAAGACACCAGTCTGTTAGCCAAGGCTGAATCAGGCTTATTGACCTCTATTTGTGGCCCAACCACCACTAGGGGAGGAGAGAAGGCCACATTGAGTGGGTGTGGGTTACATAAACACCACCTACACACTGCATCTGTGCCTCGGACTCAGGGGAGTTTTGTCAAGCAGCAAAATGCTATCTTGGTAAGAAAGCTGCAAGAATTGTTAATTGTTCTACTTTGTCATCAATTGACCAATTTTAAAAAACAATGCCACTTATATCTGCAGATCATTAACTTTCCCGGGGTGTATATTGCATCTGAATCTATTCAGTAGGGAAAGTCTTCAACAGATCATCAGACAATAAGAACTTTTAATAATACAGATTACTCAACCTAGTCTCTCATTTGGACCAGGAAAGGTGTCTGGGTGAGAAGAGGAAGATTTTTGAACTCTGAAATCCCTGCTTAAACCTGTGCTCTTACAGACACAAATGCATAGGATGTTTTTTCACCTTGTACTTGACATATGGAGTCTGGGAGTTCTTTAAGGAGGTTGTTGTGACAGTCAACTATTTCTAAGTTGCTCAGCAAGCCTATGGAAGGTGGCAGGTACTCCAGACAATTGTTCTCTAGGTACAGCTCTTTCAGATTCTGGAAAAAAATGTGCATGATTTTCTATTTTAAAAAAGGATTTGTTTCCTTAGGTAGATCATTGAACAATGCACAACTGAACATTGGCAAATGCAAAACATACGACTGGGGTGATAGCATTGTTAGGTGCTCAGATACTACGGTAATGAGTGTGATATAACTGGATAAATTTATCCAGCAGTGTTTGAGCATCTCCTTAAAGTGCAGCATGACCTATCAAGGCTTGAGGATTTACTTCCTTTGCCACTATGTGGTCCTTCTGTCACTCCTGCGTGCTAGCAACCTCTTGAAAGGTATAGCGGCTGCTCTGTGGGCAGGCAGAGAGAAGGGAAAACATGAATTCCATCAGCAATTGTAAAGTGGCTTATTGCCTAGGGCTTGGTGGTGATTGATCACCCAGTAAAACAGGGGTTTAACAATGCTACAGCCCTGGTGTAGAGGCCCAACACATTTTATGGGATCAGAAAGATATACACACATAACCTATTCCACATAGGGAGATGGAAATAATAGAGAGAATCTATGTGAAATAGGTTATATATAATACAGAGATATCTAAGTTTTGGGTCCATCAACTTTAACAAGACCTGTTTGTTACAAATGTTTTACCCAATCCTGCCAGACCTCAGTGGGTCCAATTCTGCAAGGTGTTGTGTCCCATCGAATTAAATGGAACGTTAGTGTGCTCAGCACCTGCTGTTGACAGGCCCTGCGCACCAAATCCCATTGTCCATGGAAGGTGCGTTTGTGGAAGGCCTGCAGGATTGGGATTCCTTCTCTTCAAACAGCTTAATTCTTCTGTGCTTCTTTGTGGTACCAGGCAGAGTTAGACTGAGCTCCTCTCCCTGCTCTTTTTCCTACCTGCAGTTTGCTGATGTCTCTTGGAAGAGTCATGAATTTGATCCCTTTATCTTGTCCCAGATATAATTTCTCTAATGACTGAAGGAGAAAGACTTCTTCTGGAAAGACACTGAATCTGTTTCCAGTCAGACCAAGGCATTTTAAGTTAGAGAGTCCCGTCACCTCTGGAGGTATCTAGGCGTGTTCCAAAACATACATTTAAAAAAAATACATTTATATCCGTTAAATAGCTATGTCTTGTTGTTTGTTGTTTGCTGTTCTGGGAAATACTCTGTCACATTACTACGGATCAACGAAGAATATCATGCTGGCCACATTCTATGATATTGCCACATTATGATTGAAATTTTTGCAACGTTTCCCTGCTATATTCCCTTACTGAAAGGTGTCTCTGTGTAAACTTTATCTGAATTAGGCTAATTCTTAGCATATATGTTCCTTCCAGAAGTGGCTGCCTGGAGAATGAAATGTAACAGGTGCTCCTGTGCTTCCCAATCCCTCTGATAGTATCTGTGTATTATAAGATATTTTACATAAATTTACATAAATTAAATTGGGTCATTTGCATATATTACCACTTCCACAAATGTCGCCTTCAAGGGGGGAAAAAAAACAAAATAAATCACGATCTCCTGGCACAAGATGGGGAGGACTGCATTATATCACAAAAGGGAAATGTGTTTGATGCCCTAAGAGGAAGACACCCATTACTGTTCATATATTGACAGGTTTCAGCTGTATCATTGTCCCCTAGGCTGCCATAAGATACTGGTTCTAAAAGCATTAACAACTTGTACATCCATTGTAAACTTGCCTCCTGCTCTGTTTCAAATAGTATATCACATTTTTTGATCCTGGGCAAATGAAATTATCAGACCGTTACTTCAGAAAAAGATAGGTATAAATAGAACCAGGCCCTTTTAGCATCTAATCTCTACTATTCAAAGCAGGTTACCATGTCTAGCTTTTCACTTTTTAGTGGTTTGTTTTTGGTTCCTTTTTTCCTGGCTGAATATCTGCCTGTCAGTGGCAATTGATTACAGGGGGTAGTGAGGCTGTGATGCACATCAGCATTAGGAAACAAGCGTTGTAAACATAATAACTATCAGTTTTATTAACTGCAATTTTAATTAAGCTACTGTCACTCATCTGCTCCAATGGCTTTAAGAATGTGTTATTCTAGCACCTTGCCGCCTTTGGGTAGCGTATAACTGTCTCACATCACAAACAGCTTGTACTAATGCCTTATAACAGGGGTGGCCAAACTGGGGCTTGCGAGCCACATGTGGTTCTTTTATAGTTAAAGTTCAGCTCGTGGAGCCCACCATATCACCCCCCACATTTTCCACTGGGTGGGGGGAGCTCAGAGTTTCAGCCCCACAGTGTGGTTGAGGGGTTAGGGCAGGGGTGGGCAAACTTTTTGACTCGAGGGCCACATCGGGGTTGTACAACTGTATGGAGGGCTGGGTAGGGAAGGCTGTGCCTCCCCAAACAGCCTGGCCCCTGCACCCTCCCACTTCCCATCCCCTGACTGCCCTCCCAACCCCTATCCACATCCCCGCCCCCCGGGCCCCCCCACCCCACCCCCCCCCGTTCCCCCCTCCCCGACC